CTACGTTTCAACGCTTGCCACCTGGCGGCGCTATAAGTAACACTTGCGAACGCAGTGTTTTTTGTTTTTTTCCCTCCTATACCTCAATCAAAAGCTTAAATCGTCCATATATTCTATTAATTACACTTACGTTATGTCTATAGAGTAAAATAGATACGTATATAATTATTACGCTTTCGTGGTACTGTTCAAATAAAACTTTGTTATGAAAAACCGGAATGACTTACTTTTTTTTTTACCGATTTCGAAATATTTTTCTGACTAGTACAATCAAATATGCATTAACAAACTCATCAGGTTCTATCTATGCCAAGTTTTAATTGAGTGTTCCAAAAATTCAGTAACACGTAGACGTTGCACGTGACTGAAAAAAAAGAAGCATACTTAACAATAACGTATATAAAGGAGTAACGATTCTCACACAACAATACATCACTATCGAATCAACCTGTATTTATCACTTCTTTGATCAACTGACGATTGATAACTGTGCAACGAAATACGTTAAACACAGAAAGAAATTAATTTTATAAAATAGCTAAATACAAAATACCGTGTAAAGTAGTTTACAACAAAGTTTTAAAACCACATTAACGGGACAACAATACCATATTTAAATGGATATTTGGATAATTTGAGTTTTTTTTTATTCACTTTCAAAATGGCGACTTGAATTGGCCGTTGGCATCACAAATTAATTAATTAATTCATTCAAACTGCTATGGTTTTATTTGAGTCAACTTTCACCTTGATGAAGATCGTGTCATCTTTTACATAATTGTGTTTCTTTACAATTTCATGCGACACAAATCTCGGGAAACCAAACCCTAAACTGTCTGGTTCTTTGCTGGGCCGCTGGAAGTTCTTCCATGATGGATCTGGCACAAAGCTTTCAACAATATTGCAAGCATTTTCTGAAGACGAAGCCTGGTCGAAGAGGGTAAAGGAAACGGTGTGAGAAAAAGGCCAGGAAAGAAGAGAATCGTATTCTCCTGGTACAATCCTGATGTACACAGACAAGTGGCTATCTTCACCAGCTCCATTGCCATTCAGGAAAATAGTTGCCATCAGTTTATAGCCGTGTTGGCTGGTGTAAAATGGAGCACTGCACAGTTCGTGATCTTTTTTTGACTTAGCTTCAGCCATATTCTGGCCATAATCTGTTATCTTCCAGATCAACACTCCGGAAGTGTTGAGGGTCAGATTTTCAAGGGCATTTTGAAGAGTTGAAATCTGACGCTGTTGCCTCGAAACCAAATTACACATTAAGATAAGATGAAACTTGGTACTTTCTTCCAAGTGTTCATCGAGAGCGAAACGTGGACCCTAAGAGGAAAGATCAACAAAAAAAACAGTTTTATACAAGAAAAGATTGGATTGAAAACGTTTCTATTAACAAATCTGTTTACAATATTAGATTGAAAACGTTTCTATTGACAAATCTGTTTACAAGATTGGATTGAGAACGTTTCTATCGACAAATCTGTTTACAAGATTAGATTGAGAACGTTTCTATTAACAAATCTGTTTACAAGATTGGATTGAAAACGTTTCTATTAACAAATCTGTTTACAAGATTGGATTGAAAACGTTTCTATTGACAAATCTGTTTACAAGATTGGATTGAAAACGTTTCTATTAACAAATCTGTTTACAAGATTAGACTGAGAACGTTTCTATTGACAAATCTGTTTACAAGATTGAATTGAGAACGTTTCTATTAACAAATCTGTTTACAAGATTAGGATTGAGAACGTTTCTATTAACAAATCTGTTACAAGATTAGATTGAAAACGTTTCTATTAACAAATCTGTTTACAAGATTGGATTGAAACGTTTCTA